GATAAAATTTTCTGCTCGAAATACACACAAGATATTTTTCCACGAATGCACTTCTTAACAAAAAATGAAGCACAATAACAAAATGTTGAATAAAATAGTCGCAGACCCGGGATTGAACCCAGAACAGCCATAGGAACCCTAGGCAATATTGAATAATAATATATCGAAAGACTGGAACCTTTGGCACGATAATACACTACACACTGTTTTACCACTAACTTCTAATTTGTGGCCTACGTAAATCACCCTGTATGTATTTGCCCGTATAAGAATTTTACAAATAGTTTGGAGAATACAACAAAACCCTCTAATCTCGAGAAACTAGAAAATAAAGATATTTGCATATCTTCACAATTTGTAATCTCAAGTGAACATCATGAATCCTTGAAGAACATCAATAAATCCAGTATAGGTACAGTCGTCTTCAGCCAACATGTCGGATATGGACGATGATAGCATTCTTAATAATTCCTGCAATAAAAGCGCTGACACCGTCCTACCGTCCAACAGTGACATGATCTCTGACGACGACTGTACGTACCTAGCAGATGGAGTAAAATAAAATTATAGGTAAATAATGAAAAAAAAAATTGAAGCAATTTCGAAACTTCGTGAAAGGTGCCCGTTATAAGTAGACCAGTGGACTTATAGCACCTACTAGGACCCTTTTACTATCAATAAATAGATGCCATCTATTACGCAGTAGATAAACTACCTACACCTACAGTGAATTGATCATTTGATTTACAGAACAGTGCAGAATGGAATAGAAACGATCTGTCATTCTTTCGTTTGGAACGGGTAATAGTTTTGAAATATGTCCCGATCTTTTCGATTCTCATATGTAGTAGGTATACTGAAAATCACAAAATTCAACACATTTAGTATGTGAAGACTTTTGTTGAGATATTGCTTTGGTATTAACACTGTTTCTATCTTTCTCACTCTCTCTCTGCCTTGTCTATATGTATATAATTATAGTCTCTCCCTCGTATTTTCTGATCAAACATCGTAAATAATATAGGAACCTTGAGGTTCTTCTAACAAACAACTACTACTATACGACCACAATTCTATTAAAAATAATGAGTCGCACCTACCTATTGTCTACGCGATGTAAATAGGTTGTATTTTCGAACATCCAATGCTGTTTTCGATGCCAAAAAATGCGCGAAAGGTCAACGACCAAATGTCCAAATGCATCTATCAACTACTGCAAAATTGGTGCATCTCACTTTTTGATTGAGTTATTTCGAGACACAAAATTAGAACGTATACCTATGGGAAGCTTGTTTGATTCTTGCACAGTTTTTTTTTTTCTATAGTAGAACTGGTAAAACCATCGTCCACCAATATTGGTGGTAAAACCAACCATGAACGGTTAGGTAGGCAAATATTTTTTCATGAAAATTTGTGTTCACTCAAGTTGGGAAGGATAGGGGAAGGCTAAAGACTGCCAAATTATGATTAGCCCCCAAAAAATATCGATTATCAGAAACTGATAAAGGAATCTTCGACAGTATTTACAGAAGTGGTGGAAATTTTTGATAATATTAACTAGATGTACATACGTATCCCACTCGTGAGATTTCTATAACAACAAAGACGAGTGCTAATCTAGTTGAAATTATTTAAAAAATTACCAGCACGAATGAAATTCGGCGTGATTATTTTTGTAACTATTTTAATAGTTAATTTTGACTTGGTCGTCGAACAAAACATCCTCCCGATAACGCAGTCTATGGGCTCCTTTTTAAACGTGAAAAAGTTATCGATGTAATTTGCTACTAACAAATTATCAGTATGATACCAAACGATGGCTAGAACTAAGCATTGTTATTGAATTGAGTGAAAAAAATAATCAAAGTAAAAAAACTATTACTGTTTTTGCATTGAATAGTGGCATCTGATGATGTGATTGTGATTGTATCCATGTTCGTATATACAGGGTATGTCACTACGAGCTTACACTATCTACTATGCATGCCAATATTTTAGAATACGCTCTCTCCATTTATAATATTTTCAGCAATGCAGTGTTGCCACTTCTATCAAAAAGAAGCAACAACTTTGTTATTTCATACAGAATACCCTGTATTTTATTGCATTTTCAGATTCTTCCTGAAGAGCTGATTTCATCGATGCATCACACTTGGGGTCTATAGGAAATGATTACAGAGATATAGGGTGTTCAAAATCGAGATTTTTCAACTTTCAATCGTAAAGAAACATGTTTCGGGCTCATATAAGCCCATCATCAGGCAATTAGAAAGTATCATAGTTCTAGAAAAATCGGTTCTGACTTAGGATATAGATGCAAGAATTAATTAGTACTTATAGTACTTACATTTTTCTACAACTATGATACTTTCTATTGGCTGATGATGGGCTTATATGAGCCCGAAACTTTTTCTTTTACGATTGATCCTTGATCATTCTAATAAATGTTTTGGAGATGACTTTGGGTTTTCATCTATGATACTATTATAAAATGTTATGTATATTTTTTTAATTTCTCGTCATTATGCATTGATTAAAACATGCATCTGCACAAAATTGAAGGGGCCACTGTATGTTGGATTATTTATGTCGTATGTATATAATATACGAAGCGTTCTTGACTGACTGCGCCCACGTTTATTTTTAAATGTGACTGAATGGACTCGGATTCTGATGTAATTATTGTTACATCAGGCTTTTGCATATCGTGTATTACCATTGTCAACGATTTCGTTTTGTTTTATTAATTCATTTCAATCATTTCATCATCTTTAAAGACGGTCGACTGTATTTTCACGACATGGTTGATTGTTGAGTACAACTACTGAAGGAGTAAGATCGATTTCTTCATTTTATCATTTCTTTTCTGTTAAAATTGTCGCAAAGTAGAAAAACTGTGTACCAAAGAAGAAATATATACAGGGTTTATCTAAATAACACCGAAAAAATTCAAGGGGTGATTCCTTCATTTGAACATGTGTCCTAACTTCGTTTTTGAGATACAGGGTATTAATATATCCAATTCCATGAAAGATCGTTTTATATTCATTACTCAATTGTCTTTTCATCAATTTCAATAAAACGTTGTGGTTTTGTCAATAGTAATATGGAGCTCCTTCGGAAGTTCAAAAAATTCCAATACCTACCTCCTGTCCCTATCCTCCCTAGGAACGCACGATGTTCTTTGAACATTATAGGGATTCCCTTTCGTGCGCTCCAAGCGATAAAAAAAAATCACCCCTTGAATTTTTTCGGCGATATTTAGATACACCCTGTACATATTTTTTTGTGTCTTGAAGTCACGATAATGATTGTGAACATTAGTAGTTGGTAGAATAATCTCTCAAATATACAGTGTGTCTCACTTACTTCTAATCAGAGATCTAATGGAAGCCCCCTTGTATCTTACGTAATTGTTGAGTTAGAATTCTGAAATTCGCAGGAGCGGGAAATATACAAAAAATACACTGCTCGCCAACAGCCATGGAACACACATTCCCGGAAAATGATATTAGTAGGCAAGATAGGCTGAAAATCACTTCGTATTCAAAATCAGGACGTCCAATTCCCTAACTATTCAATTTTTTCCCTGAAAAATTTTCAGTTCTGAAAAGTTACATTTTGTCATTCATGCACCCCCGTATCTTATGTAATTATTAAGTTAGGATTCTGGATATACACTGCTCGCCAGCAGCCATGTGGATAGTTTCATGGCTGCTGGCGAGCACTGTGCACTGTATAGATCACTGATGAAAATCTCAATTGATCGTTGACTGTCTCTTTGGACTCTTTCTACCTCCTGCAAAATTTCAGAATCCTAGCTCAATAATTACGTAAGATACGGGGGTGTTCCTTGAAAAGTGAGACAAAATTCAATTTTTCAGAACTGAAATTTTTTTAGAAAAAATATGGAGAACAAGTGAATTGGACGTCCTGATTTCGAATCCGAAGTGATTTTCAACCAATCTTGCCTCCTTATATCATTTTCCGGAAATGTGGCTATTGGCGATCAGTGTATATCACTGAAGATGACACCACTTGGACAGAGTGTATATTTTTGGTATATCACCCGCTCCAGCGATCATAATTCAACAATTACGTATGGTACAGGGGTGCTTTTTTGTGATAGTCATAATGGCCTAATCAGATTTTGCATAACTGTTTCCGTTTATGAGATACAGGGCGATTTTGAAAATTTATTATTTTTGAACGCCCTCAATATCTACGAAGATTGTCAGAGGCTAATGTCAAATTGAAATCTTATTCCATAAAGAATTTCACGCAGAATCCAGTGGCACACCAAATTATCATTAAATTCCTTATTTTTTCCATTCAAAATGATAAATAATGTAGAACTATAAAATTTTCAAAAATGCTCCAAAATCAGTTTTCCAGGAATCCTTTAATGATTTTGAATGCATTTAGACGTATTGAGAAATTGTGTGAGGGAAAACGCATATCAGTTTGAACAATTCAATGAATAAGTTACTAAATAATTTCGAAATCCAATTGTATTAGTAAATATTTAATCAGGTGCTTATATTCTTCATTATGAACTTTTTATTACTATTTATTTGTTGCTATCAGGTACCTAAGTTTTGTGTTTTGTTAGTTAATTAGTGTTGGTATTGTTTTTGTCTCGGTTTTTGTCCTCTTCATGGAAAAACCAAAAGAATACGCGAGGCAAAACACAAGTCACGTCAAAAACCAAGGAATGTTTTGATTCGAAGTGACATAGAACACAGAACAGAATTATAGTTAAAATAATAAGAAGACTTGTTCATTGAGGCAGTTGAGGTTAGAGTTTTCGACAGCTTTATTGATTTCCAAGGTTTCGAGAAGGTTAAGTCATTTCCTGTGTATTTTATTCTCACAATCAAACTTAAGGTTTCTAAGCAACATATTGGGATATTTTTCAACCACCTGAACCTTCAAAAAAACCTCAGAAGGAATACGTCAATTATTATTATTATTTTAGTTAATGTCATTATTTGTTGCAGCTCCTACACCAAAAAGAATGACCATCGCCAGCCGCCCTTCGCTTCCCAAAGTCCATCCCCTCTCCACCCGGCTCACTTCCGGCTGAGGAGGGACGAACCCTTGAGGGGTCGAAACGTCTCGAAAAAAATCCAAGATGGCGACGACGGCGCGCCGTCGCGACCCAGACGACGACATCGCTGCCATCGCGAAGCAGATCTCCGATCAGGCGGAGGCCATCTACCAGAATTGGAAGGCGAGAGGCTTGGGCCCTGCTGATTTGATCACGTGCCATGCGGCGGGGGACACCTCCAAGCTGGGGTGAGTTATTTAAGTTCGACCTGCTCTTTCACCCGATTTGAACCCTATCGAACAATAATTTAAGTTTTTAAGGCGGTGCTGTTTCGGTTCATCGGGTCTCATCGGTCGCTCTCTGTTTGCCTAAAATTGGCAATTGAGTCGCATCTTCCTATTTTATACGCGTTGCGAATAGGTTTTATTTTCGAATATCCAATGTTGTTTTCGATACCAAAATCACGCGCGAAATGTCGTTTGAGTGCATGAAAATTTGGGTATGGGGGACTGAAGGCTCCCAAATTATGATTTAGACCCCCTAAAAAATATCGATCAGGAGGTGCCTTTTGGCGGGGGCACCTCCAAGGTGGGTTGAGTTTTTTGAGTTGGACCTGCTCTTTCAACGGATTTGAACCCTATCGAACAATAATTTTAGTTTTTAAGGTAGTGCTGTTTCGGTCCATCGGGTGTCATCGGTTGCTCAGTGTATGCCAACGATTGTGACAACTCAGCGCCTCGGGTAAATAGAGTGTTCTCAAAGATGAGGCATTTTTTCAAGATACTGAAGATGGACAACATATGACAGAGTAGAATAATATCAAAATCATTGGAGAAGAAGATAGCAACCAGAAGAGAAAAATCAAGGAATCTGCTTGCATTCTTCCGAACGGAGACAATAGTATTGCTTCCTGTTTAGTTGATATAGATAGAACATGGTATTCATTACTGAAATCTGAAAATGAAAATGGTTGTCCTGTAACTCATTTGATTGCCAACGTCACCAATTGTCACTGAGAACTGAGAAATGTCAAGAAAAATACGAATTTGACATACAAAAATCCATTTTTTATGTTGAAAACGCTAGCAGATTCGTTCCCGAAACGTCCAAAGATGAGTAAAAAGGCGATATTTTTTCTATATACCTTTATTTCTCTTCTCCAAACCTCTTTCAATACAAATTGTCACTGACAAGCTAGTGAATTTTTCTTTTAGCCTCTCTGATAGGTGATTTCTTTAAACGCAGTGACATTTTGGGGCAAATCATCTGATTTGTCCTTACTACACGTATATTGAAATAATATTGATATTTTTTATTTTATAGAGACGAGGAGAGAAAATCCCAAATGATCTGGAATAATGAATCGCCCTGTATCTCATTGAGGAAAACAGTTATGCAAAGCTTGATTAGGCCGTCTTGATTTTCACAAAAAGATTGAGAGGAACGTAAAAAACGCAATAACAACCGAGGAACCTCACAGTCTCAACCAAAATGTTCATGCAGCTTTAAGTTGTTTCTCGGTTAGACCAGCTTCTTTCTTGGATTTGAAGCCAGTTGACCGTAAACCTCGATAAACAATAATTTTGCCACTGTTTTCTGATTGAGTAGCCTTTTATAGATTTCGCTCTATCAATACTTATTGAATATAATTTATCTCGTTCTTTATACTTTGCCTAGCATTTTCCGTGTTGGTTCAGTCATGTTCAGTCTTCTCGTTTACCAATATTTTTTTCCCAACTTGTGCATTTGCTTATGCTATCATGCTGCATACTTTTCGCGGATCACTGTATACCTCGATGACCTTCACTCGGTTTCAAGCCCATCTTGATCCATCAAAATTTCACGCCTGAAGAATTTCCGTGACGGTTCGACAATTTCACGAGTGGGAAACTTGATGTTTCCATAACTTCGTCAATCAACACGAGGTAAAATATTCGTATCGATTTCGATATCCTCTAGAAGTCTAGAAAATCGGCGATTTCATGCTTGTGAAAATAATGTGCGATGACTGAAAGCAAAGCTGGAAGGTAGAACCGAGGGTGAAACGATGTTTAGAAACAACCCTTACTTAGGTACGGCAGTACAGCACTGTTCAGAAAAATGCAGGTAAGGGGAGTCTTTGTTTGATCTATGAGGTAAGGTACCTTCGTGTACCGCCCATTAGAAAGCGGTTATTTTATTATTTATTCAAACATTTACAAAATTAGGAAAGATGCAGACATCTATGTGCACTGATTGTGCAGACACTGCAGACAGTCAACTATCTGGGTGATGGTAAATTCGGTTCCAGCAGGTAGCAGATTAAATTAAAAATCTCATACTCTTTGATGAGTAAATTCGGTTCCAACCATGTCAATTGCTAACGGTTTCACAATACTTGCCTGCATAATCGATTTAGGTCAGATTGTTTAGAAAAAGTAGTCTCCTTCTTATGCAGGAAGGATATTTTCCTTCCTCATATTATAACCTACTTATATACCTATATAATATATTAGGCCGAGTTAGGTCAGATTGTTTAGAAAAAGTAGTTGCCTGCTTATGCAGAAAAGATATTTTCCTTCCTTATATTATAACCTACTTAATTATATACCTATATACGGCCGAGTTAGGTCAGATTGTTCAGAAAAAGAAGTCTCCTTATGCAGAAAGAATATTTTCCTTCCTCATATACTATATTAGGCCGAGTTAGGTCAGATTGTTTGAAAAAAGTAGTCCTTTGTTATGTTATTATTTACTGAGCCCTTCACAAAACAATTTACTTGGGACCGAATGTACAGTGGGGCTCAAATTAAAAGTAACGACTTCTGTGAAAATCCCTATAAAATTTCAGTTTATGCACCCAGACTAATATCTATTCCAACCGCCCGCTGTTTCAATCACTTATTTCTTATGGTGAGTTGTGGTACGAGATAGTCAGATATCTGAATATTTCTAAGATTTGGGGTTAATATTCACATCGCTAGAGTAATATTTTATGCTTCATCTTATGAAGCTGACTCATGGTTATTCATTGTTTGATTCTAGTTGATTCTATGGATTGATAGATATAGTTGAAGTACTTCTTGAATAAAGCGGCATCGGTATAATTAATTTTTTTTTAATTGAAGTTTGTCGTTAATATATCCCTCGGTATATCCTCCAATTATTTTTCCCATGAAATCATATTTCTTAATCGTTCTTAAGAGTTATTTTTCTCTGAATACCTATTTTTGATATAAGAACTAATAATTCTCATCAGCATGTGCGATATGAAAACGGTATACACATAAAAATATTACTTTGCTTCAGAACAGTGTTGTGTCATCAATTTGATATCTCAAAGGACATAGGAGAAAATATACCTAGAAAATAATGACGGATTCTCATTCAAGATCACTCGGAACATACCTGTACTAATTTTCATCATCATAAAATACAGGGTGTCCGAATTTTTTTTTATTAATTTTTGCTGGATGAAAAAATTGCCTACCCACCCTTTTTGTTTTCTCAGACACTTGTATATTTCAATGATAATAATCGGGGCTGATATGTTCGAAGTAGTCCTAAATATCCATTTGACATTAGTTCCTCCCAAACATACCACAGTACTACATTTTCTGATCAAGTATACAAAAAATATATCTATTAATCCGATTTTTCGGACACTCTTTGTTTTATGACGATGAAAATCGGTACAGGGTTACATTGAGTGATCTAGGTTCAGAATCTATCATTAGTTTTAGTGAAAAAATAAAATCCCCAATAGTAATTTACGAAATATGGGTCAATAAAATTGGTCGCAGTTGATGGCCACGATAACAGTCCAAGAATGAAATCACTTTTTTTGTTTGATGGATATTTCAAATACCTATACAACAAAAAAAAGTTTTTCGAATTCGATCAGATAAGATAATACGGATTTTACAGGCGGTGGTAAAGTTCTTAAAGTGGGCACACTGTATATATAGCACATGGTCACAGAACATAACATGCAGTGCACTGTTAAATACCAGAATGTTTGATGTGTATTTTTGACTTCTTTTTCAATATAAATAAATAAAATTGAATCCTTCATGATCAAAAAATAATACCTTATAATTATAGCCGAGTAAAATAACTATAGAAGTTTTCCACTTATCGATATTTCTTTGTGCTTATATATTCAACAGTATAAAATGTTATTTTGATTTTGAAATCTATGATCTGCATGCTGATAATAATCACACTGTGGATATCCTTGTTTATGAAATTCATATTTCCACTCGAAAGAGCATTTTATGTGAACCGGTTCTCCTTTGTAAGAAATCAAGAGTTTCAGTGTTTCAGTTTGAAAGAAAATCATCTTCAAAAATATTCTCAAAAATCGATATTACTCTGAAACAGTTGAAAATAGTAATGAATTACCTTATATATTTTATGGTTTATATCAGAGTAATATGTAGAATGAATAATGAAAAAAAAAAGTGGTGTTCTATTGGAAATAAGGGAATTCTATTTTCTTTCCGTATTCGTAAGTGCGCTATGCCAGATTCATCCTCGGATTCACCCAAAAATTTTCAGAGTTTCATTCAACTCAGCATAATATTGAAAATGAATGGGTTACCTGAATGAACGTGAAATCATAAAATTCAGTACTATATTATCTTTATTGTTTCAATACAATTTTATCGATCTTTTTCTCCTGGTTATACAAAGTGTAATTCAATTGATGGTTAGAAATATAGGATGTAGACATTTTGAGAAAAGTTCATATGAACATAATATATGCCCTGAACCTCTTAACTTTAAAGCAATAGAGTGTTGAAATTTTAAGAAAAAAAATTTCTTATAACTTTGATACTGTTCTAGATATTCTCATAAAATTTGACATGCACCTACTAAGCACTGATGGCCAGTTCGTGTCCGTATAATATGTAAATACTGGAGATTTTTCTAAAAAATAAATGCAATTCTCATTCCTTTTGCAATAATTTGAGTTACATATTTGAAAATGATGAAACCATTTTGGCAAATTCAATCAACGACTTCACTTCAATAAAAATTAGACAAAAACACATCTTACCTACAAACTACACCACATTGTTCATGAGAATATCTAGAAAAGTATGTCGAAGTTATCATAAGAAAATGCTTATTTTCATAAAAATTCCAACACCCTATAGCTCGGAAGTTGAGAGGTTTAGGGCATATGTTCATATCAACTTTTCTTCTCAAAATGGGCTGAGGAACCATGTCCCATATTTTTAGCCATAAATTGAATTACACCCTG